CATGCCAGTTCATTAAAAACAATATTCTGAATGTGTTTTAAAGTTTAATTCCTCAACATGGTTCATCCTGTGATTTTTGAGGGTTATAAAAATAGCCTTTCTTAGCAAGTCTTGCTTAATTCTGCTTCAACAAGTGCAAAATTCAAGGCAGCTGGTTTTAAGCAGAAAAAGAGCAAGGCAAGTATTCTAATCAAGTAGACACATACAAAAATAAAGATTAAAGAAAATATTTTAAAATATAAAAGCATTTCTCATTTGCCAGTTGTTTGGCAAATATATAATTGAACAAACTTTTAAAATATTTTGTATGACTTTGACTTTGCTGTAAAAAAATACACATAGAAAATAAAGCATATTGATGAGAGCAATGCCATTATTTTACTTATTCTTAAAGATTTTATATTTATGGAACAATCATTGCGTCTTCTGGGAAGTTAATAGGACAAAGAGAAAAGTCAAAATATGATATTTTCTTTGAAAGATACCAAAAAAAACACAAACACTTATATGGAGTTTTCAACTTTGTATACAACATAAAAGGCATAATCACTTAAAAGTTTCCTGTGCCTGGAAAATGCTGTTAAAAATAAAATGTTATGCTTCCAGAAGTGTAATATCCCTTAGAATACCTAATGGAGAGAAGTTTAAAGCTTTCCAGTAAGTCACATTAGTTCAGATTCCTGAAAGGTTGAAGGATGCTTCTTTTTTTCACACACAATAAACAGACTTGATGACAGCAAGATACAAGAGTATGTTGAAGCTGACAAGGTAATGATATGTAATATGATTGATACAGAAAGGAAATCATATAATATTAGAACTGAGGCAGATATAAGGGATTTTCTAGTTCAGTGTTTATCGTTTTTAAATCGTTTCAGTGACTCCTTTAAATACCTTGTGTCATGGCCCCTAGGTTTCACTTACATTTTTCTTAATAAAAAAGCTCAAGTATGTAAAAACTTGAAACTAAATATACATTTCCTAAGCTTAAAGCTCTCATATACCCATAAAATAAATACCAATAAATATAAACTGATAAAATTAAATATATTGTGTAATATATGTTATTTTCCAGAGAAGAAATCATTAATATTAATAAGAGAAAAATATAGTTTTGGGTAGGATTATTTAGTTAATCTGTTTTCATATTATTACTATTATTTTTACCTCCAATAGCGTTTTTTGTAATCACGTTAGTGGTAAACTCTCATAGATTTTATCTCATGCGGTTTTAATTTTACCCTCATTCTTGAAAGATAATTTTTACTGATTCTATGATTCTAGATAGACATTTCCTCTCAGGATTTTGAAGATAATATTCTACTGTTTTCTGGCTTTCATAATTGCCATTAAGAAGTCTGCAGAGTAATTATCAAACTACAATAGATCTGTCTTTTCTTTTTGATGGCTTGTAAATATTCTTTTTTTTTGAGATTCTCTAGTTTCCTTGTTTTGCCATAGACTCCTATTTATTTTTCAAATTTCATTTAGAATCTACTGTGCTTTATATGTGTGTATATATTTACATGTGTGTGTGTGTGTGTGTGAGAGAGAGAGAGAGAGAGAGAGAGAGAGTGAGTGTATGCGTGCGTATAAATTTCTTTTCATCAGTTTTGGAAATTAAAAGCTGAATAATTAAATGCTGCCTTTTCTTAAATATCTTCTCCTGTGACCTCGTGTAGATGACCTTTATATTTGACCCTGCAAATATTTGGTACTCCTTAAGTTCTGCATCACATTTACTTCCTTTGAAACATTATGAGTAATTTCTTTATCATCCATTTATTTTATTCTTTATTCAGCTAAATCTAAGGTGGTGTGCCTGGCACAGTGCCTCGTGCCTGTAATCCCAGCACTTTGGGAGGCCGAAGCAGGAAGATCACAAGGTCAGGAGTTCAAGAGCAGCCTGGCCAACATGGTGAAGCACTGTATTTTGTATTAAAAATACAAAAATAAACTGAACATGGTGATACATACATATTGTTCTAGCAACCATACATATTGGAGGCTGAGGCAGGAGAATCACTTGAACCCAGGAGGTGGAGGTTGCAGTGAGCCAAGACCACACCATTGCACTGCAGCCAAAGAGCAAAACTCTGTCTCAAAAAAAAAAATCTAAGATGGTGTTTAGCCATACATTTCTAATTTGACCAATATATTTTATTATAGAGTTTAATTTTTAATTTGATTCAATTCTTCCTGGTAATTTTTGGTAACAAAATATTGTTAGCTCTTATTTATGACATTATATTTATATAAACGTAGTTCTATGTATGTACCTATAAATTTTACTGTTGTTGTTTCTGCCAACTTATAAGGTCTTGCTTTTGTTGTGTTTCTAAGCATTATATATGAGTTCATATATGGTTAATTTTAATCTGTGGCAAGTTTGGGACCCTAATTTTAAGATGCTGTTTTTTTGGAGTAGATTGTATATATTTTTCTGCTTAGACTTTTGGGGAATCACTGATTGTGGGAAAACCTATTCCCCTTTTAGGGTACCAGGCAGTTTCTGGAAAGGTCAGATTTAATTTTTTCTCTTGCACAGATATTGCTAGAAGTGTCAGGTTCAATTCTCCCTCTTGTCTTTCCAGACTACTTACTGTGTTTGTTTACTTACTTATTGGTTTATTTAGCTATTTGAAGGTTTTGTTGAATTCTTCTGTAAGAATTATCTGAAAAAAAAATTATATTTGGTGCAAGATCTAGTTCTACTGAGGAAGTGCCTCAGGGTTATTTAATACCAAATGGCTGAAAGTGGAAGTTCCATAGTTTATAGATTTTTTTGCCACTTTTTTTTAGCAAAGAATTGAAAGTAAATTAGTAAATATTTCAAGTTTTAAAAATAGCACCGCTTTGAAAATACATTGGCTAAAATTCAATCTGCTCAATTTTACATTATATTTGAAATATGTTGACTTCTACATTTTGTAATCTTAGAGTCAATCTATTTTAATGGCAAAAATTATTATTTAAATATGCTTCCAAAGCTAACCATTTAAAATCACTTCTTACAGAGAGCAATCAGTATTGCTCTCTATGGGACAGCCATGAAAAAGCAACCTACCTATTAGCAACCAGGCTTGCTTACCACACAAAATATACTGTAGTCCCTGACTTTTTATTTATTTAGAAAGGAAAAAAACTTATTGAATACATATCTGTGTTTTAGGCATGTTGTAAGCTTGGTGTTTAAAAAGGCTAACCACACAAAGTTCAGGGCCACTTTGTAGTCACATTTCAGTAATGGAAGTCATAATAGTAAAACAACCAGCAAACAAATAAGTAAATGGGACACATTTAGAAAGAAGGGCAATAGGGAAATACAACAGGGTTATATGATATAGAGTGACTTAGAAGGAGTATTGACTGTTTGGATTGTATTATGAGTGATGGCTTCCCTGAGGAAATTGAGATTTGAGATGATGACCTCAGGGGGAAGGTTTCTAATGAAAGCTCAGCAAGTACAGTGGTCCTGTTGGATAATGGAGCTTAGCATGTTCGAGAAACAAAAGAATGCCATTATGACTGCAGTGTTGTGATCCACTGTTAAGAGTGTTATAAAGTTAATGAAACAGTCATGAGGGGAGATTTCAAAACCATAGTAAAGAACCTAGGCAAAACCATTCACGACATAGGCATAGGCAAGGACTTCATGACCAAAACACCGAAAGCATTGGCAACAAAAGCCAAATTAGACAAATGGGATCCAATCAAACTCCACAGCTTCTGCACAGCAAAAGAAACAGTCATTAGAGTGAATCAGCAACCAACAGAATGGGAAAAAATTTTTGCAATTTACCCATCTGACAAAGGGCTGATATCCAGAATTTACAAAGAACTAAAATAGATTTACAAGAACAAAACAAGCCCATTCAAAAGTGGGCAAAGGATATGAACAGACACTTTACAAAAGAAGACATACATGAGGCCAACAAACATGAAAAAATGCTCATCATCACTGGTCATTAGAGAAATGCAAATCAAAACTACATTGAGATACCATCTCACATCAGTTAGAATGGCGATCATTAAAAAATCTGGAGACAACAGATGCTGGAGAGGATGTGGAGAAATAGGAACACTTTTACACTGTTGGTGGGAGTGTAAATTAGTTCAACCATTGTGGAAGACAGTGTGGCGATTCCTCAAGGCCTTAGAAATAGAAATTCCATTTGACTCAGCAATGCCATTACTGGGTATATATCCAGAGGATTATAAATCATTCTACTATAAGGATATATGCACACGAATGTTCATTGCAGCACTATTTACAATAGCAAAGACCTGGAACCAACCCAAATGCCCATCAGTGATAGACTGGACAAGAAAAATGTGGCACATATACACCATGGAATATTATGCAGCCATCAAAAACGATGAGTTTGTGTCCTTTGTAGGAACATGGATGAACCTGGAGACCATCATTCTCAGCAAACTGACCCAAGAACAGAAAATGAAATACCGCATGTTTTCACTCATAGGTGGGTGTTGAACAATGAGAACACATGGACACAGGGAGGGGAGCACTACACACTGGGGTCTGTTTGGGGAATAGGGGAGGGATAGCGGGGGGTGGGGAGTTGGGGAGAGAGAGCATGGGGAGAAATGCCAGATATAGGTGAAGGGAAGGAAGGCAGCAAATCACACTGCCATGTGTGTACCTATGCAACTATCTTGCATGTTCTTCACATGTACCCCAAAACCTAAAATGCAATTAAAAAAAAAGAATTTTGATTATATTTAAAGTGCTGGGAAAGGACATTGGAGAGTTTCAACAATATAAATGATTATGTATATGTTTACATTATTTATATAATATGTATTTATGTTATAATTCACAATTAAATATTTAAAATTTGATATTTTAAAATGTTCAATAATTTTATATTTCAAAATTATATAAAATTGTCTAAAATATATTTATAAATATCTTTAAATATATTAAATTATATCTCATATGAACCTAACACCTAGCACTGAAAATTGTTGATCAGATCCCAGCGAAGGGAAGGGATGTTATGAGCTAATTAAAAATCTGAAATGATATCTCTTTATTGATCATTTTCATCCAATAATATATATACAGATATATTATTCCAGGAATTCCTTAGCCTGTCTTTGTGAATAGTTTTACTTAGGTAAAATTGATATACAGTAAGCTACACATATTTAAATTGTGCAATTTGAGTTTTGATGTGTACATTTGTGAATTCATCATTAGAATGTAATAAGATATTCATTATCTGCAAAAATTTCTTCATGGACTGTTTTAATTTCATTTTCTCACTCACCTTCCTAATCTGTTTACTACTGATCTGCTAACTTTTGCTATTATTTCTGTCACTGTAGGTAAGAATTTTATCTAAATGGAATCACTCAGTATGTACTCTCCAGTCTGACTTCCTTTGTTCAGCATCATCCATGTTGTAACAAGTTCAATAGATTATTTCTTTTTTATTGTTGAGTGGTGTTCCATTGGAAGGGTATATAACCATTTGTTTATTCATTCATGTGTTGGACATTTGGATTTTTTTTAGATTTTCACATTTACAAATATGCTTTTAACAATTATGTACATGTCTTTGTATATATACATGTATGTTCATTTCTCTTTAATAAACACACAGAGTAGAATGGCTGGATCATGAAACTTTTTAAGAAATTGCCAAACTGTTTTACAATGTAGTTGTACAATTTTCATTCCTATCAGCAGTGTATGAGAGTTCCACTTCCTCCATAACCCCAAAGACATGTGGCATAGGCTGTCTTTTTACTTTTAGTCAAGCAAGTGTGTAGTGTTATATCATTGTTACTTAGTTTTTACTTCTTTATTCACTAACCATGTTGATCTTTTTTTATGTGCTTATTTGTTATCCATGTATCTTCTATGGGTAAACATTTTTTCAAATCATTTCTTTTTTGTTGTTTTAATCTGTAGGTAATAGTGTCTTGGTATCAGATATTACAATAACAATAATCTTTTTTATTTTGACTTTTTCTCTCTTAGCATGATTTATTTATTAATTCATCCATCCATTAACATGACATAAATGAGCATTTACAAAGTTTTGAGCACTGAGGATACATTGAAGAGGGAGATTCTGTACCTGCTGTCAGTCAGCAGGCACAAAAATTGTCCATTAAAATCTATTGTCTGGTCACACATCACTTAATGATGGGGATACATTCTAAGAAATACGTCATAAGGCAATTTAGTCATTACGGGAACATTATAGAGTGTACTTACACCAACTTAGATGGGTATTGCCTACTAAACAGCTAGGCTATATGATATAGGCTATTGCTCCTAGGGTACCAGCCTGTAAGCATGTTACTGTACTGTACTCAATAAATCGGGAATTGTAACACAATGGTAATTATTTGTGTACGTAAACATAGAAAATGTACAGTAAAATATAGTATTATGATCTTATGAGTCCACCGTTGTATATGTGGTCCTTCATTTACAAAACATCATGGTGCAGTGTATAACTGTGATTATAATGTATTCCCTTTGCTTAGTATTGTGTAGTTTACGATTCATTCATGTGGTTGCTTTTTATAAGGGAAAAGAATAGGAGATAATGCTATGCTATGTAAGATTCTGCCTTAGCTTTCAGAGTTCACACTGCCTTGGGGAAAGCAGACAGAGACAAAACATATTGTAGCAGAAAGTAAGTTTCACACAGAGGTATTAAAAAATAAGTCCCTATAAATAGAGAGGATTTCCTGGAGGTAGTGGGACTTTTGGATTTGGGGAATTGATACAATTTTTTAAAGCTTTTAATCTTTTAATTATTTTTAGAGACAGGGTCTTTGTTGCCCAAGCTGGAGTGGGCTCAAGTGATCCTTCCACCTCAGCCTCCTGAGTAGCTAGGATGACAGGTACATGCTAACATGCCTGGTTGGCTTTTTTTTCTTGTAGAGATAGGGTATCACTATGTTATCTAGGGTGATAAGATTTTAATATATGAATAATATGAAGATATTTGATTAGTGAGGCAAAGAGCAGCAATATTTAAGTTTTGAAAAGCAAGAAAATGCTGGGCCATTTGGGCTGACTAGTTTCCTGGAAGTTTAGGATAAATAGTGTTCTTTTGACTACAGTCATATGATAATAAGTGGATTGTCATCTTATTTCAGCTCATAGATGCCTCTGAAAGACTTAGTGAAGTACATAATTAGAGGATCTTAATGTTCTCTGAAATTATCATCACCCATAAACGCATGGTCTGAACATTATTTAGTAGTTTAGTGGGATTTTTTTTTTTGAGACGGAGTTTCGCTCTTGTTACCCAGGCTGGAGTGCAATGGCGCGATCTCGGCTCACTGCAACCTCCGCCTCCTGGGTTCAGGCAATTCTCCTGCCTCAGCCTCCTGAGTAGCTGGGATTACAGGCACGCGCCACCATGCCCAGCTAATTTTTTGTATTTTTAGTAGAGACGGGGTTTCACTATGTTGACCAGAATGGTCTCCATCTCTTGACCTCGTGATCCACCCGCCTCGGCCTCCCAAAGTACTGGGATTACAGGCGTGAACCACTGCGCCCGGCCCAGTTTAGTGGGATTTTTAGCTACACAAGATTATCGTGTAGATTTTATAGCCTTGTTAAGGTGCAGTACTCAGCATAGAAACTAAAGACAAGGACCAAATCTCCCACTAAAATATTTATTTTTAACTTTCCAGACATCTTTATAGTCTGCTCTGAGAATTTTACTTTTTCTTTTGGTTCACCTTGTGATAGCTAAAATAATATTCTGAAATGCTGAGGAAGTATGGTCTCTGGTCCTTAGGGTAGGAAAATTTTTTCAGTCTGTGCATGCTCTATTCTGGACTGAATGTTAAGTATTTTACCTTATAAACTTTCTGAAGAAAAAGAGTCCACTTTATCCATCAATTCAGAAAGTCAGAGGACATGGGATATGTGATTCTGATATTTATTTTAATGGAATAGCCTAGGAGATATGGGAGATATGGAAGTCTTAAGATGAAGGTCACTCACTCACTAGTATATAGGGACCTTTGTTGTTACTTTGCTTTGTTACTTTCCTTTCACTTTTTTTTTTTTTTTGGTGATACGATAAAGTGTTCCAGTGCTATCAACTCACTACAGCAGTGGGACCTTGAACAAACAAACTACAGAAAGAAATAATTTCTTATAGCTTTCTGTTGTCTGCAATTTCAAATACAGACTTTAAAAAATGATTATAATCAGTGAGTTTTCTATGGTATATCAATATGACAAGGGGTTTTTATTATAATTGATGAAAGTTTATGTGAAGAAAGGAAGAATGCTTATTATAAACAACATAATTTTTGTAATATTTTAAATTAGTATTTGTATGTTTTGAGTTATTAATTATAAATACATAGAAATAAATTTGTTCATAATACCAAAACAACCAGTGCTAGAGGATAAATGAGACAAGGTTAGAAACCTACATACATGCAGATACATACCATGTGATCAAAAATAGATTAAAAACTTCCAAAGGAAGGGGAAAATATTATCAATTCATACTCCACATGTTAATTGGATAATATCAGACCAAGTCCTCTCTTAGCATCATTGATAGGTTCTTAAAACTGTAACTTTAATGGAAATGATGTATAAATAAACTAATTTAGGCATACACTAATTGATATAAACAAGATTTAAGTTCCTGCAGCATATTTCTGGTCACAGAAACATTACCAAACTTCTAAATAAAGTCTCTAAACACTTCAAATATTAAACAACAAAGTATACATGAACTATGCATACGTTTAAGAAAGGTTAATAAAAACAAGCAAAATCATCATTAACCCAGTTATTATAGTTCAGGGTCATGGATGGCTGTTGTTTATTCCAGCAGCTCAGGGTTCATGGTAGGAACCAGACCTAGACAGGACACCATTCGTGTCACAGGGTGCACTCACACACAGACCCCACTCACTCATAATGGGGAAACTTAGACATGCCAATTAACCTAACATGCACATATTTGGGATGTGGGAAGAAATCATAGTATTCAGAGAAAACCCGCACAGACACAGGGAGCATGTACAAATACCACACAGACAGTAGCCCCTGCTAAGAATCAGTTTTTTTCTCATTATAATTAAACAGATGCTATTTGAGAACCTGTGATAGTTATCTTCTGAAGAGCATAATTTGTCCTATGAAATATCTAAGTCAATGCATATAATTGATCATTACACAGTTCTAATATATTCTAGGATACATTTCCCATGAAAGAAATATTTCTTTAAAAAATTCAAATTTTGGTTCTATTAAATTGTCACAATGTTGGATAAGATGAGAGTTAGATATGTGATCCAGTTTTAAGTAATTTCCCAGGGTGATGCATATAGTTATTGGCAAAAAACAGTCTAAAATTCAGGTCTCATGGTCCCTAGTTTGGTGTTCTTTTCATTACAATACTTCTTTCCCAAATTTTATTTAATCCCCATCTCCACTTTTATAATTTCTCCCTACTTGATCAACAAATGCAATACAGAGTAAAATTTAGCCAAAGGAAGTGGTTGTTATCTGAAATGATTGGTATTAGTAAAAACTTAGTTAATGTAAACACTTGTAAAACAGCAATAAAAATTTGTCACAAAATCCTCACATAGATGATCAATTGATTTTTGACAAAAATGATGATAATGTTTAAGAGGGAAAGAATATTCTTTTAAAAAAATGGCACTGAGAAAACTAAGTATCAATGTGCAGAAGAATGAAGTTAGATCTTTACCTCATGCCATATACAAAAATTAACTCAAAATGGATTAGAAGCCTACATTTCAGTGCTAGAACTACAGAACATTTAAAGGAAACATAAAAGTAGCTTCTCATGACTTTGGGATCTACAGTGACTTCCTAAATATGATACCAAAAGCACAACCACTAAAATAAATAATAGATAAATTGGACAATATCAAAAGTAAAATTTTGTCCTATAAAGAACAGTATCATGAAAGTAAAAAGGCTCACTGAACAAGGGAAAATATGTGCAAATTGTGTATCCGGTAAGGGAATATAAAAAATATATTTGTAGATATAAATAGTTTTATAAACATGGATAGTTTCATAAACATAGATATTAATATTTAGTGGGATGTTAGCTGTATTCCATTTCATTGCTTTATTTTACTATCAATCCAAAAAAACCCTCTAGTTTAAGATTCTAATAATTTATAATTATTCATAATCTAAGGATCCATGATACAATGTCCTCCTCCATTGGAAAAGATCATCTTCTCTGATGGAAGGCACAGCTCTAGGAACAGTATCCATCGACAGGTAAGTTAGAAAGGCACACCTGTTTGGCCAGCCAGATCAGCCAACTAACCAGATATGCATGTATCTAAGGCAGACTACTGTCACATCTAGTACTCATGAATTCATTTGCTTTTTTGTTTTTTTACACCAAAGAAGGCTAGTCTCACACACTTTAAATAAAAAGGCCTTTATACAGAGTTCCAAATATGATAATGTGTGATTCTGGTGTTCTAAATTAAAACAGTCTATATCAGTAAAAGAGAAACCCCCATTTTGTTATATTTGTAGGTATATATAATTTAAATATACAGTAATTAAAATATAGATGTATATATTTTTCATTGCATTATATTAATGGGTAATACATTAATATAATTATTTTCCACCTCAGGGCTTTATAAAAAATATTCCAGGCTAAGATTCACTTAATAAAAAAAGAAGACCCTGTCCCAGTTCCATATAATTATAATCTCTGTGTGTACAGGTTGGGCGTGTGTGTATATACATATATATACACACACAAACATATATATGGTATAAAAATATGTGTGTGTGTATGTATATAGTATATACAATATATACACATATATATAGTATATACATATACACACATATTTTTATACCATATATATGTTTGTGTGTATATATGTGTATACTATATATATTGTATGTACTACATATATGTGTGTGTGTATATATATGTGTGTATATGTTGTGTGTATATATGTATATACTATATATATTGTATGTACTATATATATATGTGTGTGTGTATACACACACACACACACACAATCTCCAGAGAAGATTCTGATGTACAGTTCAGTATGAAAAATACTGTGTTAATAATGTATTATTAAGGTATAGAATCAATATGTTATTGAAAACCTACCTCCAGAAGACAGCTTCATTTCTGAATGTTGAAGAGAAAACACTGGTAGTTCTATGCTTAGTTGAGACATATTAATATTCTTAAGACACAAGTAAAGAAAATAAGTGTGAAATTTTAGAATTGTTTTTTTTCCCAAAGACCTTGTTTTGTATAAAAACAGAGAAAGCTGCAGTACATTTGTTTTTGTAATATGGGAATTGAAAATGACTTTTCTTCCTCAGTGTTCTGAAAACCTAGACTTTTTAAAACAGAGATCATCTTTAGAACTGAGATTTTACTTTCTGAATACAAATCTGAAGAGTTTCATGGTAAGAAAAGGGAGGAAAGAGAAGAGATCTGAAAGCATCATCTACCTGTGTCTTGCTGGTGACTCTCTATTTTTTTAATTGTGTCAATTCCCAGAGAGACTCATTATAAAGCTGAGATTGAAGGAGGTAATTAATTCAGGAAGGTTGATATTGGTTTTGATGCACCAGAGACTTTCAGTTTGTCTGCTGAACTGTGAAAATAATGCTGTGGACTGCAAAATAGGAGGGAAAAACGTCATGCCAGGCTTTTTGTACATATCTAACTATGTACACATTTTAAAATACTTTCCATTTGTAAGAAAACCAATCTTAATTAGAAGACTGGAAAAAGAACAAGCACTTAATCCTTCAGTTTAGTAGGCCAAATATGTGCTTTCTGAGACCCATGATAAGAGGTGACTGAGATGTTTCTTCTTACAATTCTAGACTGTAGTCTCAATGTGGTAATTACATTTTCAGGATCTATATTTCATGTATCATTAGCAACCACCTCTTCCAAATGGTTTCAAATGCACATGACTTCCTTCTGGAGTATTAAATATGCAGTAAGAATTGATGCTTAAGAGCATTTCCTTATACATTTAGGAATTTTAGAGCATTATTTTTCTCCTGACTCCATTGATATACTTGCAATTCACTTTAAAAAATACTTTTTACAAGAAGTCTCCTCCTTGGCTGGGTGTGCGGTGGCTCACACCTGTAATCCCAGCACTTTGGGAGGCTTAGGTGGTGGATCACCTGAGGTCAGGAGTTCAAGACCAGCCTGACCAACATGGTGAAACCCTGTCTCTACTAAAAATACAAAAAAATTTGCCAGGCATGGTGGCAGGAACCTATAATCCCAGCTACTCGGGAGGCTGAGGCAGGAGAATCACTTGAACCTGGGAGGTGGAGGTTGCAGTGAGCACTCTACCCTGGGCCAGAGCAAGAGACTCTGTCTCAAAACAAACATAAAAAGAAGTCTCCTGCTCTAATGATAAGATATGCCATTGAAAAATTCTTCAATGAAGCATTCTACTTTTGGGGTTTATTTATCTTTTCCATTTTTTATATCTGGATGTGAGATTATATATTATTTAAGTGTTTACACTTATTTTAACAATTTGTGTCATTGACCCTGATTAAGACCATTCTACAAGTAATGTGTTTGAGATTATCACAAAAGCTAAAAAAAGAGGTTACAACCCTGATCTGTTCAATTCTAAATGAAATCATAAACAGAACAAATCTTCATTATTTTCTTGACACAGAAGCTGAGAGTCGGAGGGGGAAATGATGGTAACAGAGCAATTAATAGCAGAAGTAGGATAAGAAACCATCTTCCAAAAAGTAGAGGAAAAGAACCTGACTTTTCCTGAGTGTCCAGTTTTTGCCCTGGGAGACTGACGTTATTCTCTCTACTTAACAAGTTAGGGAAACTGAGGTTCAGCGAGGTTAAGCAACTTACCTAAGGTTCCAAGAATGGTGAATTTCAGAATTTGGAGATCAATTGTCTAAATACAGGTCTGTATCTTCCCAAAGCCTACAGAATAGCAATTCTCTTCCAATCACAGTACTTGGAGGATCCTTCATTTAACACAAATATGAGTAGAAGGCAACAAATACTATTCTTTTAGGCAATGGTTTTAATCAGAAGATTATAACAGATCCAACGAGAGCAGTAAGAAGTTAGAGAAGAGAAAATAATTGGAAGAAAATGCAATCTTTTTTCCTTGTCCTTAAAAAAAAAATCTGTTCCTGCTTCTGATTGTTACTGAAGCCATTCTGCACTGGAAAAAGTAACCACCTACACCTGAGAAATCTCTGATATTTTCACTCTATTGACTGTTGCTGCACATGAAGATGACTTCTCATTAAGAAAGGTGGTTTATATTCACCATGCTTCATTTACACTAACATCCTGTAATTTATTTTTTTTAATTGTATTTTATGTTCTGGGGTACATGTGCAGAACATGCAGGTTTGTTACATAGCTATACATGTGGCATGGTGGTTGGCTTCATCTATCACCCTGTCATCTACAATAGGTATTTCATCTAACGCTATCCCTCCCCTAGGCCTCACCCCCAACACTACCGAGTGTGCGATGTTCCCTTCCCTGTGTTCATGTGTTCTCACTGTTCAACTCCCACTTATGAGTGAGAACATGTAGTGTTTGGTTTCCTGTTCTTGTGTCAGTTTGCTGAGAATGATGGTTTCCAGCTTCACCCACATCCCTGCAAAGGACATGCACTTATCCTTTCTTATGGCTGCATAGTATTCCATGGTGGATATGTACCTGTTTTCTTCATCCAGCTATCATTGATGGGCATTTGAGTTCGTTCCAAGTCTTTGCTTTCGCCATCAGTGCTGCCATAAACATACATCTACATGTGTCTATATAATAGAATAATTTAGAATTCTTTGGGTATATACCCAGTAATGGGATTGCTGGGTCAAATGGTTTTTTTAGTTCTAGATTCTTGAGGAATTGCCACACTGTCTTCTAGAATGGTTGAACCAATTTACACTCCCACCAACAGTGTAAAAGCAGTCCTATTTCTTCACATCCTCTCCAGCATCTGCTGTCTCCTGACTTTTTAATGATCGCCTTTTTAATTGGTGTGAGATGGCACCTCAATGTGGTTTTAATTTGCATTTCTCTAATGACCAGTGATAGTGAGCTTTTTTTCATATGTTTGTTGGCTGCATAAATGTCTTCTTATGAGAAGTGTCAGTTTATATACTTCACCCACTTTTTGATGGGTTGTTTTCTTTCTGTAAATTTCTTTAAGTTCTTTGTAGATTCTGGATATTAGCCCTTTGCCAGATGGATACCTTGCAAAAATTTTCTCCCATTCTGTATGTTGCTTGTTCACTCTGTTGATAGTTTCTTTTGCCATTCAGAAGCTCTTTAGTTTAATTAGATCTCATTTGTCTCTTCTGGTTTTTGTTGCCATTGCTTTTGGTGTTGTAGTCATGAAGTCTTTGCCCATGCCTGTGTCCTGAATGGTGTAGCCTAGGTTTTCTTCTAGGGTTTTTATGGTATTAGGTGTTTAATTTAAATCTTTAATTCATATTGAGTTAATTTTTGTATAAGGTATAAGGAAGGATCCAGTTTCAGCTTTTTACATATGGCTAACCAGTTGTCCCAACACCCTTTATTAAATAGGTAATCCTTTCCTCATTGCTTTTTTTTGGTCAGATTTGTTAAAGATCAGATGGTCGTAGGTGTGTGACATTACTTCTGAGGCCTCTGTTCCTTTTCCTTAATCTGTACCTCTGTTTTTGTACCAGTACCATGCTGTTTTGATTCCTGTAGCCTTGTAGTATAGTTTGAAGTCAGATAGCATGATGCTACCCACTTTGGTTTTTTCTTTTTGCATTTTTTTTTTTTGCTTAGAATTGCCTTGGCTCTGCTGGCTCTTTTTTGGTTGCATATGAAATTTAAAGTTTTTTCTACTCCCCCCACCCCAATTCTATGAAGAAAGTCAATGGTAGCTTGACGGAGATAGCATTTAATCCAGAGATTACTTTGGGCAGTAGGGCCATTTTCATGATATTGATTCTTTCTAACCATGAGCATAGAATGTTTTCCCATTTGTTTGTGTCCTCTCTTATTTCCTTGAGCAGTGGTTTGTAGTTCTCCTTGAAGAGGTCTTTCACATCCCTTTTAAGTTGTATTCTTAGGTGTTTAATTCTCTTTCTAGCAATTGTGAATGGGAGTTCCCTGATGATTTGGCTCTTTGTCTGTTATTGGTTTATAGGAATGCTTGTGATTTTGGCACATTGATTTTGTATCTTGAGGCTTTGCTGAAGTTGCTTATCATCTTAAGGAGATT